TGCCATTTGTCAACTGGAGGCCCAGGAAAGCTGGTAGTGTAGTTTCAGCACCAATCAGAAAACCTGGGAACCAGGGAAGCCAACAGTGGAAGTTACAATCCAAGTCCAAAGACACAAAAACCTGAAATACTAAGGGCCAGAGAAAATAAATGCCCTGGCTCAAGCAAAGAAAGTTTGCTCTTCTTCAAAATTTTTGTTCTAGTTGTCAATATACTGGACTGTGTACACTCACATTGGTGAAGACCTTCTTTACTCAATCTGCCAATTCAAATGTAAATGTCTTCTGGAAATACCCTCTCATATTGACGCAGAAATAATGTTGAACCATCTATTTGGGCATTCCTTTGCCCAGCTAACTTGATACAAATATCTAACCATTACAGTATTGTTAATTTTTCAAAGGCCATGGGTTCTATAACACTCTTTCTGTTATGGGTGTATTTCTTAGGTGAGGTTCAGCATATAATTGATTATAACATATAATTGATCATATAATGTGACTGGACTCTGTATTTTAGGTAACAGCTTAGATATTAAGTCAGTTCCTTTAGGTTTATGGGTTGTCCTAAATTTGTCCTTCTTAGGCCTATTCAGGGTCAGTAATAGCCTCAATTTTTCTGATTCCCTCCCTTTTTGGGATTTTCCTCCTTACTTTCCAGTAAATGTAATTGCCCCAAAACTTTTCCATTATTCCTCAAGCCAGAAAACATAAACATTTTATATTAGAATTATTGCCACCCTATATGGAGACGACTGAGGTGAGCTTTTGGGATGGAAACTGAAAATGGGAAGTCTAAATTCTTCCCTTCTATATCAGACAGTTTTTCTGTTGCTGAGATAAAATAATTTGACACCTGCAACTTGAGGTTTACTTTGGCTCACAGTTTCAGTTCATGGTTAGCCAGCTTCAAGGCAGAAATGCCTCTGGTGGTAAGACACGGTGGAGGAAAGCTGCTCACTTCCTGGCAACTGGAAGCAGAGAGCAGGAAGAGCCAGGGAAGGACACACCCTCTAAAGGCACACCCCAACTGGGACCCACCTCCTAGCAGCACAGATTTATGGATCCTTACGGACTTGATTTAATGGGTGTAACACCGCTATGATCCAATCACCTGCAAAAATAGCTCAACCTCTGAACACACGAGTCTTGTGGCGAACATTTAAACCTGTAACACCTATCCTATTTAACGATATCATTAGAACTTTTCCCCCCTTCTATTGTATTTTGATATCCATCATCCACTCTCTTGCTAATGAATTCTACATTCTACTTCTTTGCAATCAATTTTTAACTTCCAAAATGAGTGATAGCTTGTGACACTTATGTTTCAGGGCCTGTCTTATTTCACTTAACATAATGTCCTCCTATTCCATCTATGTTTTGGCTATTCTTTCTAGTAAAATAGTGGGCTGTCTGGATCAAAGCTCTAAGTGGTAATTCTGAAGTGTCAATGTAAAATGGGTCAAGATTACTCAATTATATGTGTTACCTGATTTTAATTCTGCTAGAGTCTTTTATGTCTAGCCTTACAATGCTTTATAAGTAAACTTTGCTTTTTTGTTGTAAAATTTCAATATTTTACTAGTTTTCCTTTTCTGTGAACAATATGTAATTTCTGTACACTGTAAAGCTTATCTTTTAAGAAAAATATTGTCCTTCAAGCAATGAGACATCATTTTTCCTTAATTAAAAAGAAAAACCTTTTATCTATGAGAGAATTTTCTGACACACCAAGGTTGACATTAACAATTTTTTCTAAGATGTCATTTCATGTGAGAGATGATTTCATTTGTGAACAGATGCAATCATTCTTGTTTTAGAAACAATTTACACAGCAAAGAGATGTCCAAATTTAGATTAATAAATGCAAAAGATAATTTTAACAATCTAAGATTTTGTTAAGATTTATGTAGAGGGTTATTTCCTTTACATTTTAGAATTTTTAAAAATAAAAGAACTTACAGATAAATATGTATTGGTTATTATAACAAAGTTTATAAAGAGCAAAAAATTATATTAACATGTTCTTCAGCATCTCCCAATATTAAATTATAAATTAGGAAAAGAGAAATTGTATGTTAAGAGTTGCTGATTTCTTAAAGAAGGAGAAAAGAAAGTAATGGTCCAGGCATAGTGGCCCACACCTGTAATCACAGCACTTGGAAGGCTGAGGCTGAGGCAGGAGGATCACTACAAGTTCGAGACCAGCGTAGGCAAGTCAGCATAAGGTCAGCCCGAACTATGTAGCCAGAAATTGTCTCTAATAATAATAATTTGTTTTAGTAAAATTCAACTCTAGCCTCCAATTTCATATTTCCTCAAGAAGAAAATACTTCAATATATGAAATGACAAATTCCAGTTGACACATCCAAATGAAATAGCTATTGTAAACCAAGGTGCTAGTAAGAGGCCAGATGCAAACTCAGATTTTTAAAGGATTACAAAATTCTTGAGCCTCTCAGGTCTTCCTCTCCCAATAGGGAGAATGTACGGAGTATTTTATCTCTTCCTTTATACTCTTTTAGATGAGTGGGGCTTTCCAACAAGCCCATTTTAGTTAGGCTAACTAGATAGAGCTATCTTACCTTTGTGTTGCAATGCCCAGAGAAATCAAGAAGTGATGAGATTGCCCCACCAACTACTTTGGTGGTATGGGAGGAGAGCTTCTACTCATTTTTGGGTTGCTCTGCTCTTTGCCCATACAAAGTATACAAGAGGGTTTCCCATGGCCTTCAAGTGTGCAGGGTATGAGTTAAAGCTTTCCAAGCGGGCTACCAAAAGGGATCAAGAAATCCTGTCCAAATGGATGAATGAGATCTTGGCAGATTTCATACACCTATCTAAGGTAAGTAAGGGTAGGGAGAGTCTAAATTCATCCCTCATATATCAATCTATCTACTAGGTAACCAAGGTGAGAGGCTCCAGTGTTGGGACTTTCAAAGTACCCACAACAGCATCCATTAGAATATTAACCCTAAATATCTGTCGATCCCAGGAACATAAATGCAGATCACCCAAAACAAGCTCAAGTAAGAATTTTCTTATTTTCTTTCCTTTCCTCCTGTCCTTCAAATTAGACTGTTCTGAAGCTAAATTTGGTAAATTGGCACCTAAAGTCAGTATGAACCAGAGGGGGAAAGATAAAACTCTAAATTTAGAATTGTGATTATTATAAGAACCCACACCAATTTTTTTTCTAGATCCTTCTAATGTTTTTAGGACTTCACATTATCTAAGAGTGAACAGAAAAATCTTGGAACTCAAATTCAAAGGTGGGAAAAGATTCCCAGAAAATACTTAAAGAGACGAAAAAAAAATTAAGTTCATGCTTAGCATTTTTTTTCAATGTAAAAGAAACACTAAAATCATTCATGCATGTCTTATAATAATTCCATTTTATCAGACTTTCTAGAGTGAATGACTTCTTTACTTTCCCTAGAAAAGAGACTCATCCTCTCTTGTTCAATTTCTGCCAACTCCTCATGAGTCATTAGAAACTTTCTTGGCATTGTTAGTTTACAGGGGCTGATCCTTAGATAACTCCAAAACTTTGTGGGGTTTTCTCTTCAATTTTATTACATGTTGCAGTTTGAGCTTATTTTTTCTACGAATCAGCTAAAATAAATATATAAAGTCAAAAGTTTTAAGAATTGTACTATCTTTTGTTATCTTTATTTTCTCTCCTCAACATCGTTTGTTAAACAAAAAACAAGCATGTCAGTAGTGGGACATTTCCAGGTCAAGTAAGGTATGAATAAAAGAAAGGATCTAGTGAGTTCAGTTTTAATCAAATAGTAAGAACAAAAATAGAGTTCTAGTGGATTGAAAAGTGAATGGCAGATAAAGAAGTGGACACACAAACACCAACATTTCTCAGAACCAGCTATAGTAACCAAAATGAAAGAGTCAAAGCCAGGTGGGATGGTACAAACCTCTAATTTCAGCACTCAGGAGGCTGAGGCAAGAGGACTACCATGAGTTTGAGGCCAGCCTAGGCTACCCAATGACTTCAAGGCCAGCCTGAACTACATAGCAAGAGCTAGTTGCAAAAGATCAGTGCTTTGGCAAGCGCTAGATTGAATGAATATATGAATTTAGAGATAAATAAATACACTGATGAAGATAAGCATCTAGTTATGTTTGATTTAATATTCACGATGAAAATATTCTGTAGAGGAAAAAAGACACAACTATTACATGTTAAATGCCAGTTACAGTTTCACCTATGTTAAAGAGGGAGTCCAGTAGGGAAGGGTATTTCCAAATAATCAGTTATTGAAAGGTGAAGAGACTGACCCGTTGAAGGATGAAAAAGACTAGAAGTTAATAATCTTTGTGGTTAAAAAAGAACTAAAAAGAGTACTGAGAAGAGGCCAATGCGGCCTAGGTGACCCCTAACCTCTAATTTTCATAAAGGCTCGCTTTAAATAAGTTTGACTAACACCCTGTTCCTAGAAGCCTCTTTCTGACTTGGGGTTGAAGACAAATTTCTTTGCGTTACTGTACACAAGATTCTTCTTACAGATCTCAGATCTTGAATTTTTCTCTGTAATATTTTTGTAATGGAAGTTTTAAATTGCCTCCTGAAGGTCCAGCTTTGCCTGGAGATTACTCAGCTTTGGGGTCCTTTTGGTCCCGGCTGAGTCTCTGTGTCTTTTAAGCATTTAGTTTTATATCTACTAGAGATTTTATTCCTTCACTCTGAGTGTTTCTAGTACCTCATAATTCCTCAATTAGCAGTCCAAGCCAGCCCAGTTCCACTGCCGTTCCATTCAAAACGTGAATTCGGGAGTCAACCACTGCATAGCCTACAGTCCCTGGGCATACTCCGCTCTACCTCACGGCTTTACTTTGCTCTCCTGCCGCACAGGGGACACATTCTTCCATCTCTGGGGAGAGAAAGCACAGAGCGAGACACGTTTCCTCTGAGCGTACCGTACCACGCATGCGCCACTCTGCGAGCGCGTGCGCAAAGGAGAATCGCGGCGGAGGCCGGTAGTGACGTAGAAAGAGCGCCGTGCTGAAGCTTGCGCCCAGTCTGCGGGTAGAAATCGGGACTCCCCTCCCGTAGTCATGGTACATTGCGGTGGCGTGTTGTTCAGAAAGGTTCGTGTTTGATGCTCTTAGGTCGAGTGCGTTTAAGCCATCTGAGATCTTTCTCGCTCCTCTCCCGGCGTTGTCTTTTAGAGGCCTCTTTCCTGCTGGGTTGCCCTCCCCACACTTCCAGGCGGGGCGAAGGTCCGAGGCAAAGGGCCCTGCGTGTCGTGTAGTTCAGACACGGAGTACGGGTGTGCGTGGATATGGAGTTGTGCTTGCCTTCGTTTTGTCTGAAATACTGTTTGTTTTTTTTTCCGTTTTAAATACTATCCATACCATGTTTTCATACACTTTCTTCAGAACACTGCTTTTAAACTTCTCTATCAGACACAAAGATATGTAATTGGTATGCCTTCTTGCCGAAAAAGTATGTCAATTTTTGTGTACTGTGGGACTTGCCGTGGTTTTTTGTAAAAATTCACAGCTACTTCAAGAAAAAAATTATAATCTTACTAGTAATGTCTCTTTGAAAACTTACTGACATTATATTTAACTATTGCCTTTTCACTACCACTATGAGATATTTCTTTTAAGTGAATCCGATGAATACGTCTGCAGGAGAATAAAAAAAGTCACACATTGAACAGAACTTTAAAGGCTGTCTTCAAGGGAAATACTTGAGTTTTTGATTTATTGTGGAAAACCAGTAAACATGAAATACTATGTAATTGTGGAAAACCAGTAAACATTAAATACTGTGTAAGATTTCCAAAGATGTAATAACATAGGTATAATCAGATTGCTGGGAGAGCCTACAGAGTCGGGGTAAGAATTGACTAGAAGAATTAAGAAATCTGTTTCTCCAGTCACCTCTCAAATAATGAAACCAAATCATGTTTTGGTGCCATTATTCAGAGTACAGCGAAAAAAATAACATTTGTGCGGGTTTTCGGTAGAAAAGAACAAGTTGCGTTCTACTTAGAGTAAAAGCATATGCAAAGTGTCCTGAAGACAGCAGTACATCATGTATAAAAGCCAAAGGATGAGAATGGGAGGGGTTGAATAAATGAAAATGATACTGGAAGGGTGGAGTAAGGGCTTTGAATATAGTTTATGAATTCTGGACTTCATTTCATAAACAGTAAAAATGCAAAAAGCCACAGGTGGTTTTTGAGTAGAAGGAAAACAATTAGAGATCAGATTCATTTCAGAAAATAGCTCTTAGCAACAAGTTTGAAGATTTATTACCTTGGGAGTCAGTAGACACTGAAAACACTTTTAGAACATAATGTTGGTCAAAGTTCTAGAGCAGTAGTACTGGAAAGGAGAGAGCAGGGCTTCTGGGAAAGAAACAGGTCCAGTCTGAAAGACATTCATTTGTGGAATCTCAGTGAATACATAAACAGATTCCACTATTTAAGGGAACCTTACTGGAACAGATTTTGTGGGAATGTGATGGGGGAATGCAGTTTTGTTTACAAGGTGACAATTAGCTCATCAACTGATACCCACCAAGAGGTTACAAATTTGAGAGGTTTTTGAAACAGGTCCTGCTCTCAGTTGCTTTAAACTGTTAAAAGCTTACATCCAGATGGAGATGTCCAACAGATTAGGCATTGGAAGTATGTCACTTAGGTGATAGCACAGGCTGAGACCACCCAGGAGGAAAGTTTAGGATGAAACGAGGACCACAGTCTGAAACTCTGAGGATAAGATGGAACAGTATTTGATTATTGAAAAAGAGAACCCTAAGAGAGTTACAGGGGAGAGGGAGGCAAGCTCAGAAAAAGCAGTACAATGGGTATACAGAAAGCCGTTTTATTGATTCTTTTTTAAAAGAAGTTTTAGTGGAACAGAACTAGAAAGGAGTTCACTAATTTGGTAAACATTTGGTGTGAAAATATTCTCTCTCTCTCTCTCTCAGTATGGAAATTTCATTGATAACCTAAGACTCTTCACCAAAGGCGGAAGTGGTGGCATGGGTTATCCTCGCTTAGGTGGAGAAGGTGGAAAAGGTGGTGACGTCTGGGTTGTGGCTAAAAAAAAAATGACTTTAAAACAACTGAAAGATAAATATCCTCAGAAACGGTTTGTGGCTGGAGGAGGAACAAACAGTCGGTAAGTAATTTATAAATCAAACCCTTCTAGAAGAAGAAAAATTATAAGATAAAATTTAATTTGTAATTTGAAATAAATTGTAACTAAACTAAAATGCGTAAACACATGAAAAGCTGGTCCTAAATATTCTAGAGTTCTTAAATTTTGTATTAATTTCTCATCCCAGTGTTGGTATTTTTTTCTTCACTTCCTCTGGAGAAACAAATGATCTGAATCTGCCCTGTTTTCTTCTAAATTTATCTTGGACAAACATGAACCCTTTCTCAAATTTCAACTGAGTTGCTCTACCCTACTACCATAAAAGTCAATCATCTATAATTTTTCCACGCAGAGATAACTATGATAAATGTAATTATGTGTATGTTTATGAAGTTCAATATAAAAAAGAGCATAATATTTTCAACCTCTTGTTTTTATTTAACTTTTTTATGTCAGAAACTTATTCAGAGTGTTAATAAAATTACAGTGTAGGAATTAGTATTTGCTTATTATCGAACTTGTGTAGATATTTTATATAATTGTTCATTTTTAAATATAAAGTCCCAGAAGTGGAATTAGTAAGAAGTTTGTACAAACTTATTCTTTTTAACAGCAGTTTGAAAGTAGACAGATTAGCTTCTTAAGTACACTTGAGATCAATTTTTTTTTCCAGTTTCATTATTTAGGGGATTTTCTTTTTTTTTTTCTCTCTTGCATATTTGCATTGTGACAATGATCTCTTCATTTCAGAGGTGCAATATCTTAGCTTATTTTGGATTAATATGATTTTTGGTAGCTAGTAACTTAAATAATCATTTATCACCATTTTTGTAGAATATAGCAATCTAAAATGCAACATACAGGAATAACTTTAGTGTTCCTTTAATGTATGATCATTTAATGTGTGCATTAACCAAAGGAATTGTTTGCTTTTTGTCTTTGTAAACCATTACATATGCTAGAAAAGTAAACTATTGGAATTAGGTTTTCGTGTTTTAATTTAGAATTTTTTATTTCTTTATTCTTTTGGAGAATAGGATTAGTGCACTGAAAGGTTCCAAAGGAAAAGATTGTGAAATCCCTGTACCTGTTGGTATTTCAGTAACTGATGAAAATGGTAAAATTATAGGTGAGTATACTGTAGCTTCTAAGGTTGTGAAAAATGTGCATGTTTTCCAAAAGTCGGGGTTTTTCAAGAATAGCCTCTCTTGGGTTTCAGAGAAATATATCTGCCACCTCCCATCCTCCATTGAATTTAGGACCTTGGGCTTGCGAGGCAGGCGTGGCGCTACTGAGCTAAATCCCTGGTCAGGCCAGGTCAGAAAAATTCTTTTTAATGTTAATAATTTTGTCTAATTCTCAAAAAGAGCTTTTTAAGACATATATAAAAATTGTTGAAAAATTACTGATAGATTTAAAGTTTTAAAAATATAAGTAATCTCTTTTCAACTGCTTGCAAAAAGCATTCAATAGGGTAAAAAAAAAAAAAAAAGTTTTTAAATTAATTTTCGGGCTGGGGATTTAGTTCAGTGGTTCCAGCACCTGCCTCCAAAGTGCAAGGGCCTGAGTTTGATCTCCAGTACCAAAAAAAAAAAAATTTTTTTTATTTTCTAGTGCTTTTGGGGATTGAACCCCAGGATCTTATATATGCTAGGCAAGCAAGCACCCTACCTCAGAGCTATCCCCCAAACTCTAGAGTGTCAGAATTTTAAAAGAAATGTAGTCTTATGGTTTAAGTCTTTTATGTAAATTGCAATTTCTTGGCATACATTATGAAAGAAAAATACCATGTATTATTTACCTTTGCTGTATTTTCTTTCTCATTTAAGGAGAACTCAATAAGGAGGAAGACAGAATTTTGGTAGCTGAAGGTGGCCTTGGTGGTAAACTACTTACAAATTTCTTACCACTGAAAGGCCAGAAACGAGTGATTCACCTTGACCTAAAACTTATAGCTGATGTAGGACTAGTTGGGTAAGTACTGTTCCAGTTTTTATTGTACTTTATAAATAGCAATAGTAATTTGGAAGCAGAATTATTTCTAGTTTGTAGAATTTGTAGGTTGAGTGTACTTAAAGGACATATAATTAAATACATAGTTAACCACTGAACAATAGGAAGTTGGGGTGCCAGTCCCAACATTACTCTCCCTGCAGTCAAATGTCTGCATGTAACTTTTGCTTTCCCAAAAACTCAGCTACTACTAGCTTGTTTGTTGACTAGAAACCTTAAAAATACATAAACAGTCAACACACATTTTGTATGTTACATGTACTATATATATATATCATGAAAAATACAAGAACTGTGAGATCACTCTGTGGGATGGGGCATTATTTGAGACAAGGTCTTGCTATGTAGTTCAGGATGGCCTTGAACTCACAGCAATCCTCCGCATGCCTCAACCTCTCCAGTGATAGTATGACAGGCATGCGTTACCCTGCCTGACTTGGGTGAAATCACTTTTTACTGTGATCTGCAGTTTACTGGAGATGATTAGCATTACCTGACATTTTAAACACTTACTTGAAACACTTGAGCACACTTCAGTAGCAACAGGAGGTGACTGAAAATATTACAGTGCTTCAGTGTGTGCTATAGCCAGTATTTTCCACTTACGATTTAACATTCATTTTTCTTGACTGCAAATGGTGTCGTGTACATTCTTTGTGTACATAAGTTGTGATAAATTTTAACTTTTTAAAGGTTTGTGTATATCTTATATAAAAATAATAAAAGATTGTGTATATATATTTTTGTGCATTCATGATGTACCTTTTTCTTAATTTTTCCAATTTGTCTTCAATGTGCATTTCATCTGCAAGTTTTTACAAATTTTTACTGATTTCTAACCCCACCCCCAAATCTTTGTATGAGTGGATGGGCCCTTGTAGTTCAAATTTGTGCTGTTAAGAGTCAGCTATAGTTATTTTCAAAGTCTCATCATAGTTACTATTCATTTGTAAAAGGAAGAGCAGAGCAGTTGAATAATAGGTCAGTAGGATGTTAAAAGAATGGATTTTTAAAAAATTGATCAGTCAATTTTTATTTATCAAAAAGTTGCTTAGCTAATGTTCATGACTAAATTGAGGTTAGGAGGCTTTTTAAAAAGTTTTTATATATTCCCACTGTAATCATGAATAGTCAAGGTCTGAATGAAAGTGTACTAGACATTAAGAAATCTCTTACCATAGAACCATACAGGAAGAATCCCCTGTTTAGCAACACAGCTGACTATGTGTGGTGCTAAGGAATGTTTTTAAAAAAATTAAATCAAATGCTATTTTATAACAAGGTTAAAGAATATTATCAGATATAAAGTTAGAAATCCAAACAAACTACACTAAAAAGTATACAGAAGAGCAAGGCGTGGTGGTACCTGTCTATATTACCAGTACTCCAGAGGCTGAGTTAAGTCAATTGCCATGAGCTCGAGGCTAGCCTGGGCTACATAGCAAGACCCTGTCTCAAAAAGAGTATGCACAAAGAAATAAAAAGAAAAAGAAGGGGAATGTGACCTGGGATTTAGCTCAGTGGTACCCACGCTGCCTGCCTCACAAGTGCAAGGTCCCAAGTTCAATCCCAGATACCAAAGGGGGGGCGGGTGTGTGATTGAGATATTTTTGAGAGTAAATAGAGATTGAAATTAGCATTAAACAAATGGCCAATGACCCATAGAGGCAGTCTCATGCTTCAGACCTAAGTCCTTCTGGACACTGAGTCAGCTCTTGCTGTCAGTTTCTGTGTCTTTCAAGCCTCTGCTTAGAATCACCTAAGCTAAGAAATGCAGCCCTCAGCATTCTTCTCTTTCACCAGTCTCCCTTGTTTTGCTCAGTAGTGCTGTTTAGTTGTGGGGTTTGCAGGGCTGATGGTCACTGGAGGGGGACAGAAAGCAAGAGTAAAGGAAGAGAAAACTTCAAATTGCCTGTCTTCTTTCTTGCTTCCTCTCCTGGGTCCTCCACTATAGCATTACAGTTGCTCAGATGGAAGGCTTGAAGAAGAGAGAAAACTGTCCCCTGCTCCTCTACTCCAAATTTCTAGTTGTTTCTTGCTTTTTAAAATGATCTCTTATGATATTCCTCTCCAGATATCTCACTGCATCTTTACCTGACCATTAGAGACTAAATCCTTTACTTATCCTGTCTGACCAACCACTGGCTCTTAACCACCATTGATTTAAAGTTTGCAGAGCCCTCATTCTAATCCTGGCTTGCCATTCACATTTAATTTTTATTTTTTAACACAATTAGGAAAATTATTAGGCATAGATTCTATAATCCTCTGTTTTTTTCAGAAATATTGTGGTTTTAATAGGGTTTTGTTGGTAAGACTGGCAATCCTGTGATTTACCATCCCATTCAGAAGAATGTTTCAGATTCCAAAGAGACATCTTTACAGATGAAAAAGTGTAGCAAAGATGAGTAGTAAAAGTGGGGAACTCAGGATAGATTGGATTAGCATCTCAAACCCTCCAAAGGATTGGCTTTATATCAGGCAGCATTAGAAAATACAGCAGAGAAAGCCAGTCGGTCTCAGGTAAGTTACACAGCCTTCATCAGCTTTGTTTAGCTCATCTTTAATAGTGCCTAGAAATGGTTTTACCCGCATCATTGGTGAGTACAGTGATAGATTTACAGTGGAACACATGCTTTGCATTTGTGTATACCCAGAGAATTACAGCTCCTATCATCATCATCTTCATTTTTGTGTTGCTGCTTTATTGGAGGCTTTGTATAGTGCAATGCTGGGCTATTCAGAAGTGAATTTTAGATTACATTCATTCAGTAATGTAATGAAATCGTTGCAGTTGTTAAGCAAAATGTTTAATATATGTATTCTAGTGTTTTTAAATGGGACAGCTATGCTTGAAGCTGCTGTTGTGAATGCCAGTGTAAGAGATAGCTTTGTAGCTAGTCTGGGGAATGAACTGAACCTGAGAAGAATTAATACACGGTGCTCTGCTGTTTTCAAATCTGATCTTTGCATTTTAGCTTGTAAAATTTTCATCGTGTAATTTTTCAAGAAAAATCTCATATATTTTCTTCAACCATGAGCATCCTTCTATACATACTTTGATTTCCTTGGAAATAGTTTTTTGAATTTTTCTGAATTTAACTGTTGTTATGAAAACATGGGGATAATTGAAAGGAAATAAGCTAGTCTAGCTAGTTTATTCTCATGGACAAAAATGCTTGCAATTTGCTTTCAAAAAATTACTACAGCATGAATGAAATAGGATATGGAAAAATAATTTATGTACCAGGGGAAACAAATCACTAAGAAATCTCATATAATCCATCACAGAAAGACTTTATGAGAAAAATTATTAAAAGAGCTCCATTGCACAGCTTATAGATTTTTATAGAATTCCAAAGGAATATTTTCATAGTATATCATGATCTCAAGAAAGCTTGACAGTTTATTAAAGAAGAGCTTTCTCAGCCTGTTTGTCCTTCAACAAATAGATGGATAAAAAAGATACATGAATGGCAAGCCAGGATAAAAAAGATAAGTACCAGTGTACCAACTCCCCACAATGAATGTAATCATTATGTATCGCTAAATGTACTAAAAAATATAACATTGTTTAAAATTTATTTTTAGGAGTACATGTTCACAGTACGTAATGACCACATTCTTTTAATGATCACATTCATCATGGATTTGTACGTGTACACAACATATCTTAGTTCTTTTTTTTTTGTCCCCTTTGCTTCTCATCCCTCCAACCCTTCTTCCCGTCCCCATTTAGAAAAGCTTTATTTCCATATTTTTCAATTCTCTTTTTCCTTTAAATCCTTTTTCTTCCCTCTCCCCAACCCATCTCTTGTTCCCCTTACCATTTGAAAAATATTCTTCCTGCTTCTTAATATCTATCCTCATTTATATTTTGAGTTTCACACACAAAAGGGAAAAATGTAATGCTTAAACTTTGTGTGTCTGATTTACTTTACTTAAGATTATATTCTCGAGGTGTATCTGTTTACCTAAAAATGACTTAAGCTTATCCTTCTTTGTGGCATAGTAGTACTCCATTGTATATTAATATCACATTTTCTTTATCCATTCATCTGTTGATAGGCATATGGGCTGTGTCCAAGATTTAGCTATTATGAGTTGTGCTGCTATAAATATGGGTATGCTTGTACCACTGTAGTATGATGTCTGTAACTCTTTTGGGAAGATACCTAGAAGGGAAATAGCTGGGTCAAATGGAACCTCTAGTTTTAGTTTTTTGCAGAATCTCTATACTGATTTCCACAGTGGTTGTACCAATTCACACTCCCACTGCAGTAGAGAAAGACTCCTCCCCCCCCCCACAGCCTTGCCAGTATCAAAATTTGTAAAACTTTTTGGTTTTTTGTTTTTTGGATTTTTGAGACAGGGTTTCACTATGTAGTTGAGACTGACCTGGAACTCACTATGTAGCCCAGGCTGGTATTGAATTCACAGTGATCCTCCTTACCTCAGTCTTCCAAGTGCGGGAATTACAGGCGTGCGCCACCATGCCCAGTTTAAAACTTTTTAATGTTATATAAAAAAAGGAAAAGTGCTTCCTTAAATTTGAATGAAAAACTCTGAAGGGTAAGGATCATGTTTGTCACATTGCTGTATTGGCTTGTTTTTTGTTTTGTTTGTTTCTTTGTTTTTTTGAGACAGGATCTTACTGTGTAGCCCAGGCTGGCCTTGAACTTAACATCTTCCCGCCTCAGCCTCCAGAGTGCTGAGATTTCAGGCATGCGCCACCATGCCTCGCTTTCATTGTTGTATTTTCTAATGCTGCCTGATACAAGGTCAGTTTGTTAGATAAATTTAATGTTATCAAGATTTAGGAAAAAAACCTTTTAAATGACCCATTCTTGGTACTTGTTAAATATGTGGTGGACTTTCCTGAGCACAACTTACCAAAATAAAATCAAAAGTCTTAAAAATGAATATAGATTTTAATCTATATTTCCTTGTCTAGAAATTTATTCCAAGAAAGAGATTGAAGATACGTGTAAATGTTCAGGGATAGTCACTTTAAGTTTCTAGAAAAAAAAATAGACCAATATTATATATCTTAGTTACTTTTCTCTCTTTGCTGAGACAAAATACCCACCATCCAAAGTTTAGGGGTAAAGGTTTCTTTAGCTCACAGTAGAGATTTCAATGCATAATTGGCTGGCTCCAAGACAGGGTGGCGTGACAGAGGACCAACAGTTCATAGAGGTGGAAGACAGCAAAAGCAAGCAAGCAAGGGAACCTTCTTGTCTCTCTTTTATCTTATCCACACTACAAGGCTTAGGGCAATGCCATACCAATCAGTGTATTGACTTAGTAATCAAAGGCTCTTAACGTCAGCATCACACACTCTAAATTTAGCCACCTCTGATCCATGAGGCTTGGGGAGACATCTAGACCCAAACCACACAGTAGTGATCACTAACACTGTATGTCTTTTTAGCTGTATACATTTTTGTTTGTTTTTAGCACTGGGTATGGAGCCCAGGGTCTGATGTTATAGATGCACGAGTTCGAGCAACAGAGACACATCACACTCTGTGCCAGATCTGAGGAGGGGCCCAGAAAGTTTCCTCAGCAATGGGAAGTCGTTTGATTTCTCCCTTTAAATCATGCTTTCAATTGGGGAGGACTTGGTAGAGCAAGCAGAAGCTTACAGAAGCAGAACCATGCCAGGTTAGTGGGAGGCACAAGGAAATTTTGCATACTAAGTGAGCTACAGAATATCCTGCAACTGCAGCAAGTTTATTGCCAAAACAGGATGTGGGGGTTTGGGGTGCTTTGTCCAAGTACAAGCACTTTGTTGAAGCACAGGTAGAAAATGGCGTTGAGGCACAAGATGGAGTTGGGTTGGTTATCATACTGGCACACGTTTAGGCAAGGGCTCTCCCACTGAGCTACATTCCAGCCTTTTTATTTTGGGACAAGGTCTAACTTAACTTCAGGCTGACCTCAAACTTTGATCCTCCTTCCTAGTCCTCTCAGATAGCTTGGCTTTTGTGAAGAACTGTGTCTGGCATATTTTTATAAAATGTATAATCCCAAAATTAACAAATTAAAATTAGTTAAGTATGCTTCACTTTGCTTTGAAAGCTGTCACCTTACATTATTTAGTTAAAAATCAAGCCCAATTGGGGCCAGGGATTCCACCACCTGCCTCCTGTGTGCAGGGACCCGAGTTTGATCCCTAGTACCAAAAAAAAAAAAAAAAAAAAATCAAGCCAAACAAATATGAAGTAGTAGTGTTTTTACTTTTTTGTCAATACTTTATAACTACCAGTTTATACAAAACCCAGGCGATACCATGGAGATGCCAGTAGAAAAATCCAGACCGCTTGAAAAAGAAACAATGACACAGTTCTTTTAAATATAAATTACAAATGGAGAGAATTCACATCAAAAGATATTTAAAGAGACAAATCAGCTAACTTAAATGAACTGTATTTGTGTGTCTATTCAAACAAACCAACTTTAAAAATTGTACTGGCAATGTGTTAATGTTTTTAAAGTTAGATGAATACTACCTGGGATTCAGTATTCTTCCCTGCTTTTGGTTATGTTTGAAAATGTGAATTGCAGGATTTTTAGAAAAAATTTTTTCTTTGTCTTTCAATATTTCTTTTTTACATAATTAGAATAATATTTTACTCTCAGTTCTGAAACATCTTCAGTATCTGGCATGACTTTTTCAAAAAATTATATTTTCTTCAAAAAAGTATATTTTATTCTCCAAAAAGTAAGTTTGTCCAAGATTATTTTAGATTTATGGTCTACTTTCTTTTGGGTGGGAGGTGCTGGTTATTGAAGCCAGGACCTTGTGTATGCTGAGTGAATACTTTATCACTGAACTGTGCTTCCAGCCTGTGTAGTCTACTGTTAACCCCAGGAGTATGCAAGAAGTCTTTTTCAATTCAGAAATAAGCAAATGTGAGTAATATTGACATTTATTGTAATGTGTAGTTGTATTTAATTATTTCAGATTCCCAAATGCTGGTAAATCCTCTTTGCTAAGTCAGATTTCTCATGCAAAACCTGAAATTGCAGATTATGCTTGTAAGTATAATTTGATTATATATTTTAATGTACAAAGAAGTTAAATGTTTAAACACTAATTTTTCTCTGAGTATAAATACAATATGGAGGTAAGTTTTTGAAATAAATTTTATTTTATCCTGTTTCCTCCCTCAGGTCCCCTGTCTGGAGATAAAGTTTTAAAGACCAGTTTTTCTCTGAATATAAATAAAATGACAACTCCATAGATAGCCTTAGTTAGAAAACTTCTTTTGGCAGGTAGAACACATTGATTTTCTTTTTATTAATGTTTGAACCTCTGTAGCACTCAGGAATGTTTCTTTTACTTATTAAATACTTTACTGCATTTACTTCTCTGTTGTACAGTCATTAATTTCATTTCTTTAGGATTTTTATAAGCTCTTTATCCTTTGTCAAGCACTGTGATAAGTACTAGGAAGGCAGAGAGAATACTTTTATTCATTTAGCAAATAAATTTCTAGGAACCACATTAAGTTACAGGAATACCAAAAATAGCAAAATCAGTCTATATTCTGACATTAGTTGTGCTTACAAAGAGTGGGGAAAGCATACATATCACTAATAAATACAAAGGAATATAAAAGTGTTCTGTGACGGAGTATAGATGACTGCTTTAGATATCCTTGAGGACGACGGTGCTTGGGCTGAGGTGTGAAGAAAAATCGAGTTAATAATCAAGTGAGAAAGATAATGGAAATTTAGGTTAAGATTGGGTGAATATGATAGGATCTCTGCCATTAAAAAGACATAGAATGACATTAACCTGGAAAATAAAATTAAGGCATCCAAAAACTAGACAAGCCAGTGTGGTGGTACACGCCTGTAATCCAAGTACTCCACAGGCTGAGGCAAGAGGTTCACCGTGAGTTTGAGGCCAGTCTGAACTGCCTTGTAGACTCTGAAATTAAAACAAAAACTAGGCTCTGACTAAATAAGAATTAATTTTATACTAATTACTATAAATTACGTGAGCAATATTCTACTACATGGGACTGTTGTGAAGGGGAAGAAATTTTAAAAGGCATAGGAAAGAGACTAGTGTAGGATTGGTAACTGGTAGTGTAGCATTAGGGCTGGGATTGTAGCTGAGCAGCACAGCGCCTGCCTGGCAATCATGAGGCCCTGAGTTCCATTCCCAGTACTAAAAGAAAAAAGAATAACTGAATGAGAATGGGATAGATATTCTTCACCTCCACACTTAACTGATGGAGACTTAAATTCTGAGCCTCTAAATGTTGTTTAAAGTGTAATCGATGAAATTTTGAGGCCCAATTAGATGAGGTTTGTGCCTGTACAGATACTGAAAATCGCTATTCATTCTTTCTCAAGTACATTACAAATGGCAAAGATAATTGTAGCTTCCATTCAACAAATTAGAAAAAAATCTGAATTAAACTATTCACAGAAGTGAAATACTATTTTTTCTGTACATATGCTACAACAGTTTGAGAAGAACCTGCCTATATTTTACCCTTAACTTGTTTTTCCTTTCAGTTACAACAATAAAGCCTGAACTTGGAAAAATTATGTATGACGATTTCAAACAGGTGATTATTTTTAAAGTAGAAGACTTTGGTTAGAAGGGGAAGTCCTTTAGTACTAGGACTTCATAATACTGTATTTGCAGTTTCTGTGGTGCTAAGTGAAAAAAAGCAAGATTTCTTTATTATGCTAAATTAAGTTGTGCATTTATTAATTCTTCTGGGCACCATGTAGAACATATTTATATAAGGGTTTAATGCTGTGTTTCCAGATGTTATGCCCCACAGTATTACGTTGTCATTGTAACTTCATCTGTTCTCATTACAATTTCTATTTTAACTTCCATAGTGGATTATTGTTCTTTATTTCCTAAAAACACTTTCTCAAGTTAATGGAAATGATTTTATTTCAGTTATTTTGGGGAAGTTTTATAGGATTTAATATCATCTAGTTATTAATTTTTCCCTGATAAGGAAGAACTATAGGTCTTCTTTATGTCCATATAGAATACTGTACTTGGATGTTTTTAGCAGCTGTCTTCATAATTATCAAAACTTGGAAACAACCAAAATATCTTTCAGTAGGTAAATCATTAAGTGAACTGTGTTAGATCTAGGAAGTGGGGTATTCAGCTTATGAAAAGATATGTAATGCACACTATAAACCAAAGATGCCAGTGTGAAAGGCTACAAACACTCTGATTTGAACTGTATGACATTTCCGAAGAAAGCAAACTGTGGAGAAAGCAAAAAAGACCAGGAGTTGCCAGGAGGAAGTGGGGATGAGTAGGCAGAGCACAGAAATTTTTAGGGCAGCAGGACTATTCTGTATGGAACTGTAACAGTGGGTACATTATACATACATAATGTTCAGAACACTAAAATGCACACTACCAAGAATGGACCCTGGTGTAAAATATAGACTTTGGGTGATAATGACGTGTTCGTGTCAGTTCATAGAATCTCTGACTTGATTCAAAAGAGCTAAGAGAATCTCCGAAGGAAATTTGAGGGCACGAGACTCTGGGCCCACTTGTTTATCATTAAGCCTCAGTTTCCTTTTTAAGAGTTTAGATTTCTTATCCACACTGAGCAGTGCCTACAGAACTATTTTTCATCCCTTTCTGCACTCATTACCTCTAAAAAGAATATAGGAATACTGTATCCTTTTACTTTGAAAGAACAGTAATTCTGCAGATATAATAACAGAAAAGGAACACTGATACTACTTACAAATTGAATTTAAGACTTAGAAGTACTGAATCATACTTAGTAATGTCTGCCTAATATTCTCACACTTTAATGAATTCAGATTTTAAAATTAATTAAAATTCTATAAAAAATCATAAAACAATTTATGGAAGTATAGATTTATATGATTGGTAAATGTTAAAGTAATAAACTAATACCCCAGATCCCTAGATTGTTAGATGAATAAGTTAAAGTGGAACTCTTATGTTTGATAACAAAGGATTTTAATGCTTAACACATTTATTTTGCTGTAAAGGTGTTTTGGCATTTCAAAGATGTAGTGGGAATTATAATTCATGATTGTATTTGAAATATTACAGAAATTTGGGGATATAAATGAACTGTGATTTTAATATTTTTTTATTGTATTGTTAACTCTGTATTAGATATCAGTAGCTGATCTCCCAGGTTTGATAGAAGGAGCACATATGAATAAAGGAATGGGCCACAAATTCCTGAAGCACATAGAAAGAACTAAACAACTACTTTTTGTTGTAAGTCATATGCATACCAACGTGACGTTCAGATGAGCGAACTTAAGTTTTCCTAGCAATGTTTTATAAGTAAGATTTATACAGTTATGTGTCACACAATCACGTTTTGGTTAATGATGGTCTGCATGCAGTGTATGGAGGTCCCATACGATTGTATTGTCTAGTGACATTATATCTTAATTTGTGTGAGTATGATTTGTGATCACACAGTGATGCAGTTACTTACTCGTAGATTTCTGAGAACACATCCCTGTGGTTAGATGATGCATGACTGCTAACATACATCACTCCATTGAGTATTCAGATGGACGTGTACATACATACAGTAGATAATTTTGTTTATATAACACGGGGATGGAAATGATACTGCTACTGTTATCAGATATGTTTACTCATAATTGTGAAGGTTTCACTCCTTAAGAATTCTGCCATACTATTACATTATGTATCTGTCATGAACTATTGATGGTGCTTGAGTTATATATGAGATTATCTATATTATTATAAATTGTCTTACTAATGAGTACCATTTTATCAGAATAATTATAGTTATTTTGACACGTCAGTTCTGTTACTGTGAATTGCTAAATTATCAGTATAGGTTGAGAAATTAAAAATTTTTTACCTTGGGTAAAACATTTCAAAACAGAAAAGTGTAACCATTTTTGTTTTAACTGTCTCCTTTACTCTCTTTTTTAGGTTGATATTTCTGGATTTCAGCTTTCTTCTGAAACTCAGTACAGAACTGCTTTTGAAACCATATTGCTGCTTACAAAAGTAGGTTTTCTATTTTACTGTGTTCTATATCTGGTCTAACATGCAGGCTTGTAACACAGTAATTAGTATAAGTTCATATTCCATCTTTTTAAACTTATATATTCGTTAAAGAATTGTTAAAATGTTCTATTTTCAGTTCTTTAATATTCACCAACTTCTCAAACTATTGCAATGAATAAAACTATGCAGGGCTTCCAAGTCCACGATGCACACTTCTTACACTTTATCTTACTTCAGCTTTGCCTTGTGTATTTCTTCTTAAAATGTTCTCCATTCTTGCTTCACAAACCATTCTTCTGGTTTTATTCATGCTTCTTAGACTATTTCTTTACTCTTTAAGGTTTTTTTTTTTCTTGCAGTGCTGGGGGGGAAATCAGTCCTTGGGCATTAGCAAATGATAGGCAAGTGCTCTACTACCAAGATACCTTCCAGCCTTCTGCTCATAGTGTGTAGTAAATCGGTTGTGCAATCTTAACCATGCTCATTGCTTTAGGTACAGTTACTACACTGATGACTGTCAAATTTGTATTTGATACCCAGACCTTTTGTTTGTGCTTTACTTTAGGTACCTATTAGACAGCCTTGATTGGATGGATGTTCTGTTAGACACTCGAACTTAACATGTATAAAACTGAACTTTTTTTTTTTTTAAAGCTCTTTAGTCACATCCGTCTTATTGAGTGTGTAAGCTGAAAAACTGGATGGTGAATTTGATTCTTACCCCTCCATCAAGCTCTGTCAATTTCCTATCCTAAATCTCTGAAAGCTGTCCACATGTCTTCAAGCACACTGTTCTAATCATCAACCCCTTTCACTGGAATAACCGCTTCCAGTATTGGTTTTCTGCAGTATATCTTTTTTTTTTTTGTACCAGGGATTGAACTCAGGTCCTTGCGCTTAGCAAGGCAGGAGCCGGAACCACTGAGCTAAATCCCCGGCCCTCTGTAGTACATCTTTTAATATGAGGCTACAGTGATCTTTGTAAAAGAACCAAGCTCATGTTTGATCTTTGGTTGAGATACTTTGATGGTTCCCGATTGTTGTAAGGTTAAAGTCTAACCTGATCATGGTCTGTGAAGTTTAGCAAGTTTGGAGACCTTCTAGGGAAGGTCTTTTTCCCTTCCCTTGCCCTTCCATGCTGCATTCCAATATATGGTTTCTCTCCTATATAACACCATGTTGGTGTTTTTCTTAAATTTAATTTTATTTTATCATATATTCCCTCAAGCCCCTAACATGATTTTTTTTATGATATTGTTTACCTTCAGGACTTTATAGATTTTTTTATTTCCTAATTTTTATCTACAATGAATAAATTGCTGTGAACATTTTTGTTTGTGGTTGGAAAACATGTTTTCATTTCTCTTGGATATATACCTGGGAGAGGAATTAATGTATCAGGTTTTAAATTTTTTTGATATTTTGAAGAATTGCCGAACTTTTCCAAATTGGCTGTACCACTGTACCAGTTTACATCTAACCTGTAATGTATAAGTATCATTCCAGACTCTTGTTATTAGGGACTAGGGCCGAAGGTCTCTTTTTCTGTAGCTGCTTCCTTCTGGCAAAGGGGTGTTGTTGGGTAGTGGCTTTAGACAGCTAAGGCGTGGTCTAGGTGGGTGGAGTAGTGAGGGGCTGGTAGCTGGCCATGACGAGTTTGTAAAGACCTGCTTGTATTCCTGTAAGAAATTTTGAAAACAGTGAAACAGACAGGGTCTGAAAAGCAGCATTATGTAGAAGATGTTGAGAAGTCCTAGGAAAGGGAGGCGCCAGGGGAGCCCCAATGGCAATTTTCATACAGATTGAAAATCCTAAATCATAAGGAACCACAGAAGACCCCAAATAGCCAGAGCAGTCTTGATTAAAAAGAGCACAGCTAGAGGCTTCATACTACCTAATTTCAAACCAACTACAAAGCTATATTAACCAACATAACATGGTATAGGCATAAAAACAGACATGAAGACTAGTGGCCTAGAACACAGTCCTCATAAATAAATCCTCATATTTAAAATCAACTGAACTCTGACAAAGATGCCTACAACACAAATGGGGAAATGACAGTATCTTTTGTAAATGCCCTTGGAAAACTGATTATTTGACTATCATCCCATTTCATATGCAAAGTCAAAATGTATAAAGACTTAATAGGGCCAGGGATTTAGCTCAGCTGTTCTCTGGCCTGCCTTGCAAGCTCAAGGCCAAAAAAAAAAAAAAACTTAATAAAAATTTTTTTAGCGCACACACTCTACCATGAACTACACTCCCAGTAAAAGTAAGACTTGAAATACTAAAAAAAAAAAAATATGGAAAAACTTTTTTGACAAAGTCTGAGCAATGCTTTTTTTTTGGGATATGATCCTTAAAGCACAATGAACAAAAGTGAAAGTAGATAATTGGGATTGCATTAAATTTAAAAAGCTTCTGCACAGCAAAGTCAACAACCAGCAGTGAAGAAACAATCTAACAAGTGAGAGAAAATATTTGTAAACTATCCATCTCATAAGGGGTTAATATCCAATTAGAAACTCAGCAGTGTATGATGACTAAATCCCAGCTATTTGGAAGTCTGTGGCAAGAAGATCTAGAGTTCAAGGACAGCCTAGGAAACATAGCAAGAACCCAATTCAAAAGGAAGGAAAAAAAAAAGTGCCAGGCATGATGGAACATACCTATAATCCCAGCACTCTAGAAGGTTGAGATAGGAGGATCAAAAGTTTGAGGGCAGCTTTGCCAATTTATCAAGACCTTATTTCAAATTTAAAAATAGACAGGGTAGTAGCAGAGTGTTTGCCCCCTATGCAAGGTCCTAGGTTCCATCCCCAGCACCATAATAAAAGTAATACAAATAAAAAATGGGCAGAGGATGTAGCTCAGTGGGAAGTCCCTAGGTTCAATCACAGTATTGTTTTTTTTAAAAAAATGAAATTTTATTAAAAATTCAGTATCAAGAAAACAATACCAAAAAAAGAGAATACTATAGATGTATGTTATGGCTTGTGTCTAGATGTCCCCCTCAAGATTCATGCCATCATAGGTGAGGCTTTTCAGAGTAGCTAGATCTAAAGTGTGTGATGCTGGGATTAATGGTGTGTGATTACTAAATTAGTCCACTGATTAGTTTGGCATAGTTTTGGGTGTGAGTGCTACCCACTCCAAAGGCAGGTAGCCTAAATAAAATATAAAGGGATGGAAAGTATGCTATTAAATTATCATTATTAAGAATTTTGTTTCTGTGAAATCCAAATAACTGAACTTGGTTCTAGATACATAATCAGCTATCTCCTGGAAGCCACTTGAGCTAAAATATACTATCACATGAACTAACCAGAAATGTTTTCTGGATTTCCTTTGTTTTATGGTTGTTGAGATTTACTGCACTTCAGTGATGTGAATGGATTTTAGATTTCCTTGGTCAGGCTTGGGAATGTAGCTCAGTATGCTTTGCATTTGGAAGGCCTCAGGTTCAATCGTAGCACTGGAAAAAGAGAAAGATTTCTCAAATTATTAAAGAAAGACATTACTAAATGATTAATTTATATAGTTACTGTTATGAAATTATTTTTTTTCTCTTAAAGGAGTTGGAGTTATACAACGAGAAACTTCAGATGAAACCAGCGCTCCTGGCAGTTAATAAAATGGACTTGCCAAATGCCGAAGATAAATTTCATGAATTGATGAGCCAGCTTCAGAATCCCAAAGGTAAACCCACTCATTTCACTGAATTCCAATTTAGTAAGTACTTACTGTGTGCAATGAAAGTTAAATGTTATAATCAGTGGAAAATAAAATGATAGTTTCTGTCTTAAAAAGTACGTTTGAAGAAAGAACACGTACCATGTGAAACTTTGAATAACATTTTAACGTAGTCATTATGAAGCTCTGTAATGTGTGATCGACTATAAATGAAAGGACCAAAGAATGCTTAATTTGGTCTGAAAAGGTTATGAAGAAGTAAGACTTAAGTTGGGTCCTTTAAAAGTGTGGATTTGGATAAAAAGGAGGAAGTCAGCATTTACCTGGGAAGTTTTTCACTAATTCACGTACATCACAAGCTCTAGAGCTTCATTTCTCTACTACACCATAAGTACAAGAATAGAGGCAGTGGTTCTTAAGATGTATGTTTCTTTGGAACACCAACATTATAGATCTTTGAAGAACATCAGTCTTCTGAAATGAACTTGAGTCCTTACCAGATGTTACATGGAAGAATAGATGCTGTGATGCCAGAAGGACTCGTCTGAAACTTCATAAAGGGCTGACTTCGTAAAGAAACGTAAAGACAGGCTCTGCAGTTTTGAATATGGACTTTTATAGGATACATACATCCTACAGTGAGGATGTTTTCAGTTTCTGAATATAGTAGAGGACCTCATGTATGAATGAGGAAAGATAAGTTACATAGTAAGTGCCCAACATTTTATTTTATTTTTTATTTTTTGAGACAGGGTCTCACTATGTAATACAGTCTGGTCTTGAACTTACTATGTAGCACAGGCGGGCCTTGAACTTGCAATGATCCTGTTGCCTCAGCCTCCCAGAGTGCTAGGATTACAGGTGTCCTATAGCTCCGTATTTTTAAATGATACTAATTTCTTTGCATTTTTATGTTTGGAATAAAGGTTGGGGAAAATAGATTACTATGTATTTGGAAGAGCAGACCCCACCAGAAGGTCCTTTCTCTCCTCTCTCAAATCTTTTTTCTGTATAATATACATGTTGGGATTTTCCTTGAATTAATAATTTATTCCTGCAGATAAATATTTCCTAACATTAAATGGTCTGTATTCATTAATATTATTTGCTTTATAAGGTTATTAGTTCTGTTCTCTAGTCTTATACAGAGAAAGGAATTTTCAAGGGCGACACCAGAAGTGAGGGTAACTCAGGAGTTCACAACTATTCTAGATCACCATGATTCTTGAGTCAGCCTCTCTGGACTTTACTGGACTTCTACAGATCTCCAAAACCATACTCCATGTTGACTTGTCCAACCTTCTTCATTCTATCCTGTTTAGCTCTTGTCATTGTTAACCTGTTCAATCAGTGTGTTGTCCTCCTGCCTCCCATGGCCACAGAGGCAGGGAAGAGGAAAAAATAACAGAACATCTGTTTGCCCTTGAGAGCAGTAGATTGCAATCTGAAATGATCTCTGATTGAACTGTTCCTATTACCCCTTCAGTTTTAGTGTGGATCTTGGCATCAGTGTGGATAAACATAATGCTTAGGGAAGTGAAAGTTCACCAGAGTACAAGCCCAGCTAGAATGTCCCAAATTATAAAAGATATCACTATTATTGCAGAAACTTTCTTTCCGAGTACTTATGTTGCATTGCCTCGAGCACCCCAAAAACAAATTTTATTATTTTTATAAATACGTATCTTCACAATTCATCTTATTGGCATTAGTAAAATCTAAGTGTTCCGTATTAGAGAAAGGAGAAAAGGGACTTAAATACAAATTGGTTTTGTGCTTCACAAATTCAACCTCTAATACAGTTTTTGTTTACTTTCTTTTTTTAAATTTTAATTTATTCATACAAATGTGTAGTACATATGTAGTACAAATGTTTACATCCCTTGTGGGAAGCTGGTACATGTACATACACATCTTAATACCTTTCTCAGCCTCTATCCCCTCCCTCCCAACTCTTGTCCCCCTTTGTACATTTGTAGTACATGTTTACATCCCTTGTGCAGAATTGGTACATGTACATCACACATCAAGGACGACAGAAATCACTTTAGCTTTATATTCTTTGTTTCAGATTTTCTGCGTTTATTTCAAAAGAACATGATTCCAGAGAGGACTATGGAGTTCCAAAATATTATCCCTGTATCTGCTATTACTGGAGAAGGAATTGAAGCATTAAAGAACTGTATAAGGACATCACTAGATGAACATGCCAGCCGGGAAGATGAGGCATATTCTAAGAAACAGTTGCTTAATTTGCAGGTTTCTAATACAGTATCTTACAGTGTGCAGTCATTAAAGCACGCTGTCACTAGTTCCAGAAAGGATATAACTTAACTCTGGTAAAAATGGTATTGGCAAATTAATATGTGCTCCAAAGAGAAGGAAATCATGTCATTTGTGACAGCATAACTAAACCTAGAAAACATTATTATGTTAAGAGAAATAAGCCAGTCACAGACAAATACCACATGATCTCACTTATGTGTAATCTAAAATATTTGTTCATAAATGCAGATGGAGGGGATAGAGAGATGGAGAAGGGAGAGATATTAGTTGAAAGAAAAATTTTTTATTTTTTGGCACTGGGAATCAAACTCTGGTCCTTGCACTTGCAAGGTAGGCAGCAGAACCACTGAGCTAAATCCCCAGCCCAGTGTTGTTTCCATTTTTTTCCTTTCCATTTTCTTTTTTTTGGTACCGAGGATTGAACTCGGGTCCTTGCTCTTGCTAGGCAGGTGGCAGAACCACTGAGTTAAATCCCCTGCCAAAAGAAAGTTTTATGTAATACAAATATTGGAGATCTAGTGCACAGCTCCAGGTCTATAGTTTTAACAGTGTAGTATATTTGGAAAGTTGTTAGGAATACAGGTTGTAAGTATTCTCAACACAAAAAAACATGAGGAAATGCATATGTTAATTATATTGACTGAGCTATTGGACACTGTACATATTTCAGAATACCATACTATACATGATAAATGTATGTAATTTTATGTGTCAATGTAAAAAAAGGCATTGAAGGGCCAGGGATTTAGCTCAGTGGTGCCCTCTGCCTGCCTCACAAGGTCAAGGACCTGAGTTCAATCCCTGGTAACCATCCCCCAAAAAAAGGTATTGAAACTATCAAGTTGCAAGCTTTTCCACACTTTTTTAGTATCACTACTGATGTGCCATCATCTATACCTTTTAAATGATTCTTTTGTAGTTAAGTATATTAATAATAAAAGCGTAATTAAGAGCTTAAAAAAGTTACATTTTATAAGTTTAGGGCTAATTCACCTGTGATATTCTCTGATATTCCTTTATTTATTATGTACTTCCTGAGAACATTTTTTTGGTTTGTTTTTTTTTTTGTTTGTTTTGTTTTTTTGGTACCAGGGATTGAACTCAGGACCTTGTGCTTGTGAGGCAGGCAGTGGAACCACTGAGCTAAATCCCTGGCCCAACAATTTTTTTAATTACACAGGGTGACTCCCTAAATGGATTAGTAGCATAAGCAGCTAGGGTTTGCATGGGGGGGGCTCTATCATGTACCTGGTTGTACTTAATATATAATAGTTCTCTGGAAAACCTCCATACCTTCAGATTGAACACATATTCAGTGATAATAAAGGTCACAGTATCTAACAGAAGCCAGCAGATCAGTGTTTTCCTAAGTATAAGTGTATTTTCACGCTTCAGAGGAGACATCCATGTTTCATTTTCTTATGTCTGTTTCATTGTCCACTTTCATATTTTAGTAAAGAGAATAAATAGTGAAAACTTTGCACAGTATTAATCATCTACATATTACATAAATTATTACAAATTATAAATGTCTGGGTGCTTAAAATACAAATAAATTTTCCTTTAAAAGACTTTCATACAAAATGTACATAATATAAAATATTCAAACAGTGCAAAAGCATTTAAGCAAAAAATCTTTTTGCATGAGGCCCTTCAATCTTTTCAGAGAAAGCTACTGTTGGTAGTTATGTCCTTGCAAAGGTTTTTATGCAAATATCCTTACCCAAATGCTTTTTAAAAAAAACAAAATAACAAATTAATGAACTTTAAACAAATTCTTAAATGCTGCTTCCTATTAGAAATTATTTTGGAATTTAGTGCTTAATAAAGTCTGCTAGGTGTAGTGGCGCATGCCTATAATCCCATCACTCAGGAGGCTGAGGCAGGAAGATTGCCATGAGTTTGAGGCCAGCTAGGGCTACATAGTGAGTTCAAGACTGGCCTGAACTACATAGTGAGACCCTGTCACCCAAAAATAAATTTTTTAAAACTGAATCCTGATTAATTCTTGGTAGAACTTCCCATATCAGATTTACCATCATAAAAAAAATCTTTACTAAAATACTGTACTGTATTATGCTATGGAGTTGAATCTGTACACTGAAAATTTCACCTATGGATTAAAGTATCAGTACCTATTGTGCTTTTGTGACATATGGCATGGGTTGTTTCATGATAGGAATGCAGTCTAAGAAAGCCATCCTTTGATGATTGTTGTGCAAATGTATCACCAACTAACAGCCACCAAATCACTGGGTGATGAAATCTGGTGGGATCACCATCACATGCAGTTCATCCTTGATGGGAACACTGCGGTGCCTCACATGTAGTTGTTGCAGTATTTATCCTAACAGGTTGAATTTTATTTGCTTTTAAGTGATGAATTCGTTATATAATCAAGGGAAAAGTTTGCATTTATAATGGGGTAAACTAGGTCAAGGGTAGCATATTTCACATTTCATTCGCTTAGTTTTTAAATGTATATTTTTAAGTCCTTAAAGAGCATCTAAACTTTGGTTTAAATCTTTGCTTATGGAATATCCAAGTAAAACATTCAGAAATTTTAAGTACATGGACTGAATAATCCTAATAATACCTAACATGGTGATGTTACTATACACGGAGTATGTGCTGAATACACTGCATATATTAACTCATTTAAATGCCACATTATATTGCCTCGTGGTCATTTAGTATTTTTTAAAGTTTGGTATTATATACATAAGACTTTGTTTTTAAAACTTGAGACTAAAATATTTGTTTTTTAAAGTCAAAAATACATTCTTTGCTTTATAGAATTTTACAACTTGGGAATTGAGATATAGTTGACAAAAAATGTTGGCAGATAAGTGCTATAATTTTTACTATAAATTTAATGCAAAAAAACCCCACTTTTCTTCTTAAAGAGATACTTCCTGTCTCTTGTTTTCTCTTTCCTAATTGGAGCTTGGAAGGAGAAAGTATCTTTTAGAGGAATCTTTTTGAGTGAGCTTCATTTGCCAGCTAAAGGAAAATCAAAATCAGATAGGTAATAGAAATAAGGAAAAGAAGGAATAATGTTAATACTGGAAAGTTGTATATCCCCGTGGATAACTTAGGAGTAATAAATAGGTGGGTTCATTGCCTCAGTTGGCCCTGGAAAACATGAAGAAGCCAGGGGCACTTTTAACTACCATTTCTCACTCTAACCAACCACTAGTTTTAGGCAATTCTAATTTAAAAAAAAAATATTTTTTCACTACATGACTGTTGCTTAATTAATAGTTGTTGGGTACTTGGAAGACCAGAGGAAGTAATCACCTTTGTACATATTATCACAGTGTTCATAATAGAAATTAAATTCTTTGGTATGCTCAAATAGCCTCTGTGAAGGATAGCTATTACCTGAATCATGTCCTTTGCAATTCGAAAAACAGGATATGCAGTTTATATTAAACTAATTTTGAAGCAATATATGACAATCATTTTTTTTCCATTTTCAAATTATGTTCAAAGTTGAAAGCAAAGGAGAAAAAGCTTCCTTTGTTTATGGCCTATATTTCTGTAGGTTTTTCTGAAATTGCCAGTATATGCTTACCAGTACCTTCATTTTTTTTTATTATTGGTTATCAAACATTACTATTTGTATTATTTTTATATAAAAGGCTTTAAGGAGACTCTGGTATAATTTTCTTATACTAAGAAAAGGCATAATTATACAGCTAAAACATACCTTCATTTTTATTTGTATATGGTTTAGTAGAAATAGAGGGAGATGGAATATTTTAAATTAGGGACAGATGTTGAGCCAAATCTTATGACTAGATGTGAAACATAATTAAATGACAGAGTAGTAAAAGCCACTGGTCAGCTAAATCCTAATGGGGAAAATGAGAGTCCTGTAAAATACCAGAGCTCCCGTTTCCAAACAAATCTTTCCAGGAAGTGGTACCTGTTCTTATCAAGAGAAATGGTAAAAAAATATAAGTACACATGGATTTTCCTATAAATGTGAACACCAGAAAAACCTGATACACTTCAAACCCAATAATGTTTTTCCGTTTTTCTTTTGTTTTGCTTTGTACCAGGAATTGAACTCAGGGCCTTGCACTTGCTAGGCAGGTGCTGTGCCATTGATCTATATCCCTGACCGAAGAACCAATGATATTATAATGCCAAATGTGTAACACATTCTTTAAAAGTTTAACATACAAGTTTCTTAGAAGCGGGGGGACTTGGGCTTGGCGCACACATACTAGCGCTCGGAGAGTGAAGGCCAGTTTTTTCCTCTTGTCCTATGTTCTATAATTCTGTTTTGCTTCTCTCTCTCCTTTCCTTTTTCCTTTCCTTTCTTTTCTTTCTTTTGAGACAGGATCTTGCTATGTTACTCACACTTGATTTGAACTCCCAGCCTCAAATGATCCTCCCTCCTCAGCCCTCAGCAGCTGAGACTACAGGTGCATGTGACCATGACCAACTACTTAACAGTTATTTTAAAGTAACTGTTGGTACATTTAGGTACACATTATGATCACTCATCACTGGGAATTTGTACCTGTACGTGATCTATCTTAGTTCTTGTTTTCTCCTATTCCCTTCCTTCCCTTTCACCCTTCCACCTCTCCCATTTACCAAAGCTTTGTTTTTTCCTTTTGCATATTTTTTCTTTCCCTCCTTTCCTTTCGCCCACTGCACACCCATTTCTCTTTCCCCTTTGAACCTTTACTTCCTATTCACATTATCTAGTAAACATTTTGGTCATTTGCACTTTCGTTTTCTCACACTAGAGAGAGAATTCAATATTTACACATGTCCTATTTATTTCACTTGTGTTTAAAGTGATAACTCCCTGTTTAATGTATTCAGAACTTTGCTGTGTTATTTTATGAATTTTCTTGAGCTGCCATAACACAACACAGCTAGGTGGCTTAAACAATAAACCATGTCATGGCTCAGGAGGCTGTTAACCTGAGATCACGGTACAGGCAGGGCTAGGTGCTTCTGAGCTGAGAGACTCTCCTGTGCGTACAGCCCGGTTTCTGAGGATTTGCTGGCAGTATTTGGTATTCCTTGGCTTGCTTGCGCTTGCACCCAATCTCGGCCTTAAAATACATGGCATCTTCTCAGCCTTCCTTAGTGATGACTGTTTCCCATTCTCCTTTTTTGTGGTACTGGGGAATGAATTCAGGGCCTTCAAGGTGAACTATGTCCCTAGACATTTTTTTATTTTTTATTTTGAGACAAGGTCTTAGTGCCCAGTCTGGGCTTGAACTTGGGATCTTCCTGCTTCAGCCTCCTAGAATGCTGGGATTATAAACGTGTCACCACGGTCAGCTCAAATTTTCCCTTTTTATAGACAGTCATTGGTTAAAGATTTAACCTAATGACCTCATTTTTTTTGGGGGGGGGCTTTTTGGATATTAGGTCTTACTATGTAGTTCAGACTGGCCTTAAACTTACTATGTAGCCTAGGCTGGCTTCAAATAAATGCACAGCAATCCTCCTGCCTCAGCCTCCCAAGTGCTGGGATTATATAGGCATGCCCTATCACGTGATTATGTCTTTAAAAAAAGTTCCCAGTAAGGTTATAGTCTGAGGTGCTGTGTTTCCCAATGTCAAGATATGAATTTGCTGGGGAAACAGTTCAGCCTATAACACTTTTCTATTTTTCACTCTACATTTCCCAAGTAGTAGTAATAGTATATTTTCCATTTAGTAGATTATATTATCCATTTTTAATTTAATAAGCTTCTCTAAAAATTACTATATGGGGCCTCCCCTTCATTAATCTGTATTTGTTATAATTCAGCTACAGACTTAGAAATACTTTGGTGATATATGGCTAACACATAAAAAGGGAGAAATGTGTACAAATTAATTTACATTGGAGTTGATAGGCTGTATACAATTTAGAGAAATCACTAATATTGAAAAAAGGGAGTGTAAATAAGATTTGGATGGGCAAAATGGATAGCAGGAGATATTCACGTCCAAGAACAGCTTCAGAACGTAAAGTGTTAAAGGAGAAATCCAAAGAAAGACACGCTTGTGTTCTGATCAGTGACATAACCTTTTAGGAAGGCCCACAATTACCACTTCTCAATTGGAGGCCATTTATTTAACACTCTACACCCCAGTTTCTTTGTCAGGGATATAAGGTTATTGGAATTAGATGATCCGTGAAAATGAAACAAGTGCTTGGTAGATAATAAATAATGATATCTATTATTTTTATCTAATATATATGGAAAGAAATTCTTATATGCATCCTAATGTGTTAATGCAATGCAAATAGAATATTGACAATTTGTAGTGAACAAGGAGGAAGAATCAATACCAAAGAGGAAGCGAAACCAGTGAAGACATAAGGAATGGTGGAAGACCTAAGAGATACACTTGTAATTTGTACTGGAAAAATACTGCAGTTAAAGTAATAGCAGTCAACCAAAAGATCTGGTAATTACAAATCGTCCTAAAGTTATGGAAAGCCTGATCTAAGAGATAGATTTGGGAAAACAGGAAACAAGCTGCCCTCTGAGAAAGTTTATTAATTGGGAAAGGGAGGGAAGGACCAAGCTTTTGAATAATTGCCTTAGAGAAAGTGAAAGCAACAAGAAAAAAGTATCAGGTACACTAAACATAGAAATGTTAGCATTCCCCAATCCAAAGAAAAGGAGTTTAGAAAAAGAGAGATGGTCCAGATCACACAATACGTATCTGAAGGTAAACAAGAATTAGGACAAAATGAGGCCTTTGGATTCAGCCAGGAAGAAAATATTAGGGACAGTGATAGAATAATGGTTTCCTAAAGATGTCTACATTATCATTCTGGAGTCTCGAGTCTTAAAATGCCATGTTACATGGCAACAGGAAAGTTAAGGTTCTGGATGGGATTAAAATTACTAATCACATGACTATAAAACTGATTCTAGATTATGTGGCTAAGCACACAGGGTTCTTAAAAGATGGAAGAAGGAGGCAGCTTGTCAGTGTGAGGTAATACAAGGATCAGCCATTGCTAGTTTTGAAGACAGAATGGCACTTGCCACCAGGAAATGCAGACATCTTTAGGCAGCTGGGAAAGCAAAGACAATAAATGCTCCCCCAGACTCTCCAAACGTACACACACACAATATTCCAGCCCTGTTGATACTTGATTTTAGCCTTGTAAGGCCTGTGTCAGACTTCTGACCTCCAGAAGTGTAAGATAATTTTATGGTGCTTTTAAGCTTCTGAATTTGTGGTAATTTCTTACTACTACAACAGAAACTAATACAGTGACCAGATGGCAATCTGCAGAATTTTGGTGGTAAAAGCTATATTGTGATCAATCTGCTCTAGGATATGACTTACTCCTTAAGCTTTGGTGAGAAAAATGGGAAAGCCCAAGTCATCTTGATAATTATATTCCAGTAATCACTGAATCCCACTGGGCACGAATCCTGCACGAATACTGTTGTCTGTGCTCTACCACAACAGCTGAACCTTTTATTTACCAAGGTGAACCCACCTTGGGCAATAAACCTAGCAATAGTTTCTCTTCCTTTTTGTGCTGCTGTTATTACATTCCAGCCACAGTCTGCTAATCAAATAGCAGTCATCAATGACAGAGAAATAAATTATGAATTTATTTTGTACACGACTGTTTCATTGAATTCAGTTTTCAAGTCAAGAGAACTGTAGTTTAGAGCGAAGTGATTGTCCTGTGCCACACTGCCATCCCCAACTGCTATTGCCACAGCTGGCCTAGCGTCTAGGCCTCGGGTGCTCTCACTCCCTGGTTCTGGAATTGTTTCTCACCTTAGACAAACTTTCATTCTCTGCACAATATGGTAAACAATAAAGAGGGTAGCAGATGAGAGACAATAGCCCTTTTCCCTTTTTCTGAGTAGTAGTCTCATTGTTACTACAGTAGCACAAAATAGAAATGTTAAAGCATCCGGTCCCTAGCATGTGTCACTCACTGTTGTAGACGTCTCCAGATAGTCTCACTATGAGGTTAACTTGTCCGGAGTTGTACAGCGGCAAACCAGGATAGGGATCAGTGCGATTCTTTACTTTTGTGTAAACTATGATTTTTTAATTTGGAAAATCTTTAGAGTTACAGAAAATTGAAGGAGCAGTGCAGTGAACCCCACGCGCTCATTTTTAGACTCGATAGTTGTCAACATTTGCCATGTCTATCTTCATCTGTGTTTTGGAACGTTTGGAAGTAATGTGTATAACACTTAAACCTATTCTTTAAAAAGACATATCAGGGCCAGGGATTTAGCTCAGTGGTGCCGCCCCTGCCTCGAAAGCCGAAGATCAGGAGTTCGATCCCTGGTACAAAACAAAAAATAACAACAACAACAAAGCCATTATCAGTGTTACATAGGGTTCATTCCGTTTAACTCAGATGTCCTCAAGTATAGGACTTCACATTTAAGAGACGCCCAGAGCAAAAGAGATAGGACAGTTGAAACTGCTTGGCAGAGTAAGTTTAAATATCTACTAGGAGACAGCCATATGGTGTAGGCAATCTTATTACCCCTCATTTTCCAGATAACCTCAGGCTGAAAGAGGTAACAGAAGTAACTTGCTTGGGGCCACCCAACCAGTAGCACCAGAGCTCCAAACACAGGCCCTCCGGCTCTGGAGTTTGGGCTCTGCTCCACTTGTGCTTAGTAAAATGCTCTGCGGAGGGGCAAGGGGAAGTTCGGTTTGAGAATTTCTGCTAAACTTCTATGGGCAAATCACATTTACTAGGAAATATTTACCTGGATACTTAAAGCACCGCGCTCCGCTACCTCCGGGTGTGCGTAGCTAAAACTGATAAGCTTAACCCAGAGCAAACGCAACAGACTAGCGGA